ACTTGAGTACCCTTGCATTGGATGACCACTTCATGTTTTATGGTACAAACTAGTGGAAGTAGTTTCTTAGAGGAAATTGTTAGGAAAATATGTGAATCCAACACCTAATGAAAGTATTGTTCAATAGTACATATAACTTGAGTACCCTTGCATTGGATGACCACTTCATGTTTTATGGTACAAACTAGTGGAAGTAGGCTGCTCGTGTTCACAAATACAGAATACAGTACTCTCTGAAGCTTGGGCACTGGTTTGGTATGTATAAGGCTATTTATTCTGAATGTGAAGTATAAAGATCATGATATAATTGGCTAACATTCTTGCCACAGGCAGACGAAAGAGCACATGTCATGACTTTATCATCGTATATGAATAAAATTGGCATCAAAACATAGTTAATACATCAAATTTCAATTATGTGTGTTTTAAGTTCTTAATTTTATAGATGTATATTTACAAAAATCCTCAATCTCCCCTAGAGTGAGAATTATAACATTTATTCGCTAGGTTTTCCCTCTTCTCTAATTTATCAGCTGAGCCTGTAGCAAGAGAGTTAAACAATAATCAAAAGACAGACTTCACTATTAAATTTACCAATTTGTTCACAAGTAACAAATGTACATGAAATATATATGACAGTTAGAAGTCAGTTCAAGATAAGTCTGATTTCAGCTTATGTAGTGTAAAATTTTTGTAGATAAATTAGACACTTACGCTGCATTTGGACTCCTGGGGCATGAGGTAGCATTCTCAGGTTTTCAAATAACCTAGTTCTAAGATGAAAAAATTTATTAACATTGGGTATATGAATATAAAGTCAACAATAAAGTGAAAATCATATGGTACTGAATAAAAACTGTGTACAGTGGAGCATAGTACAAAACCACATTCTCCTGTCAGTAAAGATTTAGTTTATGTACACAGAAAAGTTTGTTAAATGTTCACTGTTTTGATGGCTTACATTCAACATTTTATTAAATTTCTCTCAACATGGGTCAGTCGATTTGACCGACTGTGTGACCTCTTTGTACTCGTTTAAAGTCTTTATAGTTTTAATACTTATAACTTTTGATAGTGTGTATATCTTCAAAATAATAAAAAAAACATATTTTATTGAAGCATTTTTGATAAACTAAAATGAAGATTTGTCCAAGAATATATTGAGTACTTGTTTTGAATAGTCTGTGTGAAAAGTAATTTTCATGTTAAAATTAAAAATACTTTACTCACCTCAAAAAATCTCAAATTTCCTTTGTGTAATCTCTAAAACCTCCTAAATACATTTCAGACGTTCTTTTTTCAGATAAAACTTTATATTTCATCTGTTATTTTCTCTACCCTAACTCAAAACAGGATCAGTCAATTTGACCGACCTCTAAATAAATCTAAATTTCCCTTTTTCTCTTTCTAGAATGACTTCAGATTGTAACATGAAACTACATTAGTATATCCTACGTAGCTTTAAACTCATAACAGTATACATCTATTTATAATTAAATTTTATTGTTTTATTGCCCTTTAAACTGTGTCTAAATACTATCCGTGCCATAATAAGTTGTAAATACTTGAGGGACATACAGCTCACATTACTCTATTGAATTACATTATCTTCATGCTGCTCGCATGCATGCCTCGTGAAACACTTTTATTATACTATTATTTATTTTACCTAATCTAATGTTAACTAACCTAAAAAATCCCTATTTTTACATTTTAGTTACTTTCATAATAATAAATAAAGAATAAACATGAAAAAACAAGAAAACTTAAACCTACCAATTTTATATTAATGGTAGTAGTGCATAAAAAACAATTTTTATTTAATTAAATAATGCACCAAAGAATATAGGCAAATAACATATAAAAAGCAGACAATTTCCCCTAACTCTCAAAACTTTTCTGGTTTTCTAACTATAGGACAAGAGCCGTTACAAATTAATCCAAGCTAGTCATAATTTTCCTACCAGTATGAAGCTTGTACTCTGAGTGAAATTGATGCTTACCTGTTCAGAACACAACATTATAGAATGTCATTTGACAGATGAAAACTTTGACTTTCTATTGATTATAAGTAACATAATTAAATGTAAAAGAGAACTATTAACAAAGCCTGAAAGAGAGGATGTGACAGGTAGGTGTGGCAAAAGGGGTGTGATTTTCTATTTATATCTCTGTATAGAGAAATTTACATTTAATTTTGTACTTTTTCAAGGGGTGGTGGATAAAATAGGAAAAATAAGATGCCTAGAGAAAATATGTCACAAGTGTCACACTAGAGGGAATTCAGGATGTTTTTTTAATGTTGCCTTGTAGAATTTGGAACTTAAAACTTATATACTATTAAAATATGGGTTATTATCTATGATTTTAAACAATACTAATTGGTGTAACAAACAATGTATTTTAACAAAATTTTGAATGAGACACTAAAACTTTCTGTCATGCGTAGTAAAGGATACCCAGAGCAAAAGAGTTAAACTACTTTTTGTTTATGTTATACCAATTGACATTAGGTAAGTTTAAGTTCTTAATTTTATAAGGCAATATTTAAAAAAAAACCTGAATTTCCCCTAGTGTTAGAAATGTGACATATTTTCCCTAGTCATCCCCTCTTCTCTATTTTATTCATCATCCCTCCAATAAGTATGAGATTTAATGTAAATTACTCACTATAAATTCGTCATTGCTCAGACAAACCATAATTTTTATAGCTTTCAGTTTTGTTTGGTTACAGAGCAAATAGGTCGAACTTGGATGAATTTGTCTCATAACGTGAGCTGCACATTCCCAAGTGATTTACAACATATAATGCCACAAATAGTAGTTAGACACAGTTCAAAGGGCAATGAAACAATAAAATTTAATTATAAATAGATGTATACTGCTATGAGTTTAAAGCTACTTGGGATAAACAATTGTAGTGTCATGTTACAATCTGAAGTCATTCTAGAAAGAGAAAAGGGTAATTTAGACTTTTGATATTTTTGTGGTGGTTACGAGGTTGGTCAAATTGACCAACCTTATATAGAGTTAGGGTAGAGAAAATAACAGATAAAATACAAGTTTTACTGAAAACAAACATTTGAAATGTATTTAGGATGTTTTAGAGATTACACAAATAAAATTTGAGCTTTTTGAGGTGAAGAAAAGTATTTTTAATCTTAACATGAAAATCATTCAGTACTCTAGAGGTACAAAAGAAACACAATGGTAATTACGTCAGAAATATGACAGTTTGTAATATATAATAATAAAATTAAATACAAAAAGTGGAACAAGAGAAAATGAAAAGAATGTAGCCCAAATGAAACAGTTAAATTAAAAAAGATTTAAGTCAAATGAAAAATGTGTATTATTTAGAAATAGAAGAAGAGTTTTTATGTATAACTTCATTTTCTTAGAAGTTCAGTATCATGCTTAAGTGTTGAGAAAATTTTAAAGTTGGAGAGAAAAATTGTTTCTGTATTGTGTTGGTAGATAGCAGGGTTAGGAGGGTTTGTAACTTTTCTTCCAGATTTATAAATACACTCACATATTCAAATGTTCATACTTTAATAACATTTAGTTTAACCAATATAAGGGCTTTACAGTCTCCAGGTGTATAAATAGACAAACAACACACAACCTTTGTAGTAGCAACAAAATGTTACATTAAAATTAGGTTTAAAAACAACTTTCAGGTCAATTTGAGGATAGCAAGAGTTACATAACTTTTTCAACTATTTTATATAGTAAAGGACCTTTGTCTTCCAAGATGTGGTAAGTAGATGTATAAAGGCAGTTTGGGTACAGTAGGTGGTTTGACAAACAAATTAGTTAAGAATGAGTAAATTATTTTCTCCAAGAAAAGCTTAGGTTAGCTGTTTCATAAATGAATGCTTTATATTAAAGAAACTTCCTTGTGAAGGGCCAGATAGGAAGAGGTAAGGTTGTAGGCCCTATTTAGTAGGCAGAGAATGAGATTTCATTTGAAAGGAAAAAGTATACAGCTGTCAAACTGAATGAAAAGACCAGTAAATGAGATTTTCAACAGACAGAAGTTATAAAACCATTAATATCATGATTAACCAAAACATCCAGGAAAGAAATAAAGTTTTTCATGTCAATTTCATGAGTGAAGTGTTTAGAGAGGTGCTGTAAATTAAGATAGTCATGAAAGCATTCGTCATCTATCTAATTGTATAGAGTATTGTTAAAGAGGAAAGGAGAGTCTTTAATCCAGAGTTCAAGCATAGTTTTGAAATCAGATTTATAAAGTCCACTGGCAAAACTGCTTTTAGCAAAGAGATTCGAAAGTGCAATACTAATAGTTTCATCCAGGGGAATAGTATTATAAAAAGAGAAGTGATATCAAAGCCAGCAATCAAATGATTTTTAGGGGGGAGGTTGCTAATTTCACAGAAAATTCGAAAGAGTCACATGTTGTAAATTCATTCCTAATAAACAGTTCCAAGATGGTACAAGGGATTTAGCTAAGTTAGTGCCCAAAGCAGAAAGTATAGGTTGGAGTGGGGTCTCTGTTATGTAAACTCTCAAAAGGCCATATAATATTCCAGCTGCCAGTCCTTCAAGTTTAAAATTTGACAATAGCCTGTGTGTGTTATAGTTATAGAAAGTGGAGAGTGCTAAGTTTTTTTTAACTTAATAGTAAACAGTTCTCATACCTGTTCAGAAGTACTCTTGGAAAAAATACTCAGGAGTATTATGACTATATACAAACATACTACAAGAGGTAGATAAAATATTTAATTTTCTATGATTATTCAAGAGTATTCTGACTATATACAAACTTGCTACAAGAGGTAGATAAAGTATTCAATTTTCTATGATTATTCAAGAGTATTCTGACTATATACAAACTTGCTACAAGAGGTAATAAAGTATTCAATTTTCTCTGATTATTCAAGAGTATTCTGACTATATACAAACTTGCTACAAGAGGTAGATAAAGTATTCAATTTTCTCTGATTATTCAAGAGTATTCTGATTACATACAAACTTGCTACAAGAGGTAGATAAAGTATTCAATTTTCTCTGATTATTCAAGAGTATTCTGACTATATACAAACTTGCTACAAGAGGTAGATAAAGTATTCAATTTTCTATGATTATTCAAGAGTATTCTGACTATATACAAACTTGCTACAAGAGGTAGATAAAGTATTCAATTTTCTCTGATTATTCAAGAGTATTCTGACTATATACAAACTTGCTACAAGAGGTAAATAAAGTATTCAATTTTCTATGATTATTCAAGAGTATTCTGACTATATACAAACTTGCCACAAGAGGTAGATAAAGTATTCAATTTTCTATGATTATTCAAGAGTATTTTGACTATATACAAACTTTTTATCTACCTCTTGTGGCGTATTCGATTTTCAATGATTATTCAAGAGTATCCTGACTATATACAAACTTGCTACAAGAAGTAAATAAAGTATTCAATTTTCTATGATTATTCAAGAGTATTCTGACTACATACAAACTTGCTACAAGAGGTAAATAAAGTATTCAATTTTCTCTGATTATTCAAGAGTATTCTGACTATATACAAACTTGCTACAAGAGGTAAATAAAGTATTCAATTTTCTCTGATTATTCAAGAGTATTCTGACATACTAAAACAAATTCACTGAAGAGGTAGAGGAAAGTCCTCACTTGGTTTCTAGGTACTAAAGAGTATTTTTTGTATATAAAAACTTACCGATGAAGCAAACTACTTGCTTGATTTTTGCTAGGTACTGCAGAGTGTTATAACTATATACAAACTTACTACATCAAACTCATTTTATAGGTAGAATACTCACTTGATTTTCTCTAGGTATTCAGGAGTATTCTGGTTCGCCATGTTTGATGGGCTGATGTGCAGCTTAAAGTCTGGTCCAAAGTACTCAAAATAGTCATTGTATGGAAGTTCTAAAGTAAGAAAAAATATCCGTCATCCTCAAATGTGACAAAATTGTAAAGGATTACAGTAACTACTGTTGTTATTGCTTTGTTTATTGTTAAGCACAAAGCTACACAATGGACTGTGCTGTGCCCACTACGGGTAGCAAAACCCCAGTTTTTAGTGTTATAAGCCTTCAGAATTTTTAACAAACCACTAGGAGGCATTGCTATTGTCATTCACTATAGTGTTACACATTTTAAAAACCTCAGAGTTAGTGTGAGAACACACCATAACACTGTGGAACACTAAACATAAAATTAATGACTGTGGTTACATGTTAGTGACATTACAGGAGATTATTCGGAGATAATTACTTTTTAACAACTTCCCAATTCATTCTATTTCATATACTGTATATTAATTCAGTCAGTTACTGGTTTATGTTAATATTATGCAAAACTACTTTGTTCTATTCCACATACTGCATATTAATTCAGTCAGTTATTGGTTTATGTTAATATTATGCAAAATTACATTGTTCTATTCCACATACTGCATATTAATTCAATCAGTTACTGGTTTATGATAAAATTGTACAGAAAATCCAGATTACTGCACAACCAAACTTATAAAATAAACTAATAATAATTAATTGGTGTTAAAAAATAAAAACTTTTCTTTATAGATAAAAATGGCACTTAGCATTAAAGAAAAACAAGACACAAATGCATACCATTTGCAATATCTTGGTTTAAAGCAACTGAGGTTTCATATGTCCAACAGCGGGCAACATTCCGGATTGTGTAGCCTCCTCCACCTAACTGGAGCATGGGCATGCTGTACTTCTTAACAAACTCTACACACTTTCCATGACCTTTCAGGGTCAAATTGAAACATCCCAGTCGATCCCCTGATAAAGAATCTGCTCCACACTGAAGAACCACAGCACTTGGTTGGTACATTTCCATGACTTTAGATACCAGCTACAAAAGATATTAATTACCTTAGTATGGTTGTTACATCTTCAAGATTATAAACATCATCTAGTAATGTCATTAATCTCTTAGTAAGCTCCCTATGGCTGTTACATCTCCACTTTAGATAATAACTACAAATGTTGTTAATTCCTTAGTAAATCAACATGGTCATTACACCTTTATGATACCACTTATAAAGGTAATTAAAATTACATCTCTACTTTAGATAATAACTACAAATGTTGTTAATTCCTCAGTAAATCAACATGGTCATTACACCTTTATGATACCACTTATAAAGGTGATTAAGGTCTTAGAAAGCAGAACTGTTTACTTCAACCTCATGCACAAATTCATTATAAAGTATCAACACCTCAAACTTATTTTATTTTCTAGAAAACGTGTTTAAGTTTAGCTGAAAAGTTATAAGCTACCATAAAGCATCTTTAACAACAGAAATATCTGGAACACAATCAGAAAACATGAGCCATAAACACTGATTAATTAAAAAACATTTCTTTCTTCAAACTGAACTTACAGGCTGAAATATGCTTTCATACGAATCATCGTCAATACCATCACGAAGTGGGAAGTTCACAGCATAATACTTTCCTTTTCCAGCACCAATATCCTATGTATCATAAAAAAAACAAAGTCACAAGGTGATTCACTTTGCTTATTATAACCATAATAACAAACATACCAAGCAGGAAGATCTGACCATAAATACATTATAGCCATAATAACAAACATACCAAGCAGGAAGATCTGACCATAAATACATTATAGCCATAATAACAACAAACATACCAAGCAGGAAGATCTGACCATAAATACATTATAGCCATAATAACAACAAACATACCAAGCAGGAAGATCTGACCATAAACACAATATAACCATAATAACAAACATACCAAGCAGGATGATCTGACCATAAACACAATATAACCATAATAACAAACATACCAAGCAGGAAGATCTGACCATAAATACATTATAACCATAATAACAAACATACCAAGCAGGAAGATCTGACCATAAATACATTATACCATAATAACAAACATACCAAGCAGGAAGATCTGACCATAAATACATTATAACCATAATAACAAACATACCAAGCAGGAGCAATTACATAACTTTATATCATATAATTAGTAACATCCCAGGATTCTGTAACAGTCCAATACAACATTCATAAAAATGAAACTTAGATTAAAACATGCAAATATACAGTACATGGTAAAAAAGGTCTATAATGATCAAAATTATTTACGTTTATTGTGAAAAACTGGTCAAACCAAAGGAACAAACTTCGAATTTGGAAATCATAACAAACCCAAGAAGAAAGTGTTAATATTTAGAAAATCATAACAAACCCAAGAAGAAAGTGTTAATATTTATGAAATCATAACAAACCCAAGAAGAAAGTGTTAATATTTAGAAAATCATAACAAACCCAAGAAGAAAGTATTAATATTTACAAAATCATAACAAACCCAAGAATAAAGTGTTAATATTTATGAAATCATAACAAACCCAAGAAGAAAGTATTAATATTTAGGAAAACTTTCTTCTTGGGTTTGTTATGAATTAATATTTAGGAAATCATATTATACTTATACTTTCAACTGTATATTAAACAAAAATAAGTGCAAACACCAAGGAAAATAAATCAAACCTACTCTAAGATCTCCTGTTCCAGGGAAGTACTCTCCATATTTATGAAAAGAGACAGTCATTACTCGGTCTGTTGTATAGAAAGCTTCTTCTACTCCATCACCATGATGAATATCTATGTCTATGTACAAAACTCTCTGATGATATCTTGAAAGGAAAAAAATATTGCAATGGTCAATACATATTCATCCATTTTTTTTTCATCAGCTTTTAACAAAAACAAAGATACCACCTTAATGTTTATATTATTAATGAAATACAGTCAGTAAATTTGATTTAGTATTTTCAAAGCACATTCAAGTGTTGATACCAATGTAACACAGCGGAACACATCAGCAGTGATATATTTTACTTAATATGTATATTCATCTTGTCTAGATGTGACGGACCTAAAAAAACAATGATAATATTAAGATGGAAAAAAATATATAAATGCTGAATTAATACAATATCAATCTTAAATATATTCTAATACGAGTTTTCTCATTATAAAAAGCCATTAATGACATTACCTAAACCACATTTTTCCATGACCACCCATTATTTACAATAAGAATATTCATCCCTTTCTTATTTTACCAAAACAGTATGTCACTTGAGGTTCCTTCCTAAATACAAATAAAGTTATGGATATTATATAGCACCACTAAAAATTATTAGCATTATCACATTGAATTTGTTATGTCCAAATCCTAGTTTCAGAAAACAATACAGATAAATATTTAGAATTAAAAATAGAACCAAAAATTATCTGCTATCATTTTCTTTTTCCTGTTTATCAATACACTGGAAAATAATCGAGTCCCAGCTAAATATTGTACTTGGCCCTTGGAGAAGAACAGAGGTAAGTTGTTGTTGTTGTGAAATCACACATCTTAAATAACAAATCAGAAATGTCAATAAAAACACAATCACAAGTCAGTGTCTAGATAAGTTATCAACCAAAAACATAACACCAAGACAGTGAATGTCTTCAGCAAGCTATATTGACCATGGTAGATTATTAGGTACAAATATTGATAAAGTTTGAACATTTTATAAAAAGTAATTAAAATACAGAATAAAAGGATGAAATCAATTAAAAGACAACCAAATAATAGAATAATGATAGGATAATGTAACAATATTATACAAGTATTCAGAACAGACTTAATTGTAGTGAAGCTGTGTTAATGTTTAAAGTTGGGAGTTCATTTATAATAGATAAGCTTTCTTTAATTAAAAGTTCAATATGGGATGATCCAGATGAGATAACTTTGAAATTCATAATGAAGACGGGGTTGTTGGTGTTTTCACTTCATGAAAATTATGGAGTTTGGTGGATTTGACAGTTTTTTTCACCAGTTCTGCTAGATACTCCCATATGTTTGCAACTCGCAGGTGTAATTGGCACTACAGCCACCACATGTGCATTTATACATGACTGGAATGCAAAGGGTAATAGGTCTTCAGATCTGAATAGATTTTGTATTTTGAAAGGTGATTTAAATATAATTTGTAGTTGAACTTGTGGATAAAATGTTTTAATTATTCTTACAATTTGTGACTTCACCATGAAACTTTGCTTACCTAAAAAAGGTACGATCAATCTTTATGGGTATTTATTAACAGTGTATGGTTTCTTGGGGTTCACATTTGTGAGAAAGGAACTTGCATGTTAGGGCTTGAATAAAATGTAAGGGATAGCTGTTGTTTATTAATCTTATCTTTACGGGTCATCCTATGGTCACAGGCCATGTCATCACATCTGTAGACACGCATTCAAAATTTTATTGAACTACTATTTTATGAATTTATGTCAATAAGTTTTGTATCAAATTGTAAATTATAATTCAAATTTTTGTATGATCCATTAGTAAATTTCTTAATTTAAAAGTAAATATTAAAAAGAAATCCCAAATATCTATTTTTGTGTGTCACATGGTATGTTGAATGCATCATTGGTTCAAATCAGATGTTTGTGATGTCCAATTACAGTTTTTGGTTTCTTACAAATTAGGAACTCAAATTACCAATATTGACAAGCAAGAATATAAAATAAGAACCTCCTATCTTTTCTATTTGCTGAGATATCGCTCATGTACTGACCTACACACAATGGCCTTACCCACCAATTTCCATTTTTGGAAACACTTCCTTATGTACAAGTACATCTTTCTCTGACATGTGAATAACCAATCAAAAGCTCAGAATGTTCCCCTAGTGGCTTTATCAACCATTTTGAAGTATTATGAAGTCTTCAAGCTGGTAAGTTGAGTCTTTAGTCTGCCCAAAATTTCATATTTTTTAGACCCAAATACAGCTTAGCTACTAAGCTTGATAAATTATAGTGGAATTCTGTGGTATCGATAGAGTAATTTATGATTTTTTGGTTATTTCAAATGTATATATCAAACCTTAAAAAAACTATTTTCTATAACTCTTTATTTACTGTTCTATGTTTTAAGAAAAACAACTTTAAAAACTTATTTATAAATAGTAATAAATACACAATGTATTATAACTGAAATATGACTGTATTTTACAAAATACTAGTCCCTAAAACACAGTCAAGACACGTCTCTTGGTAAAGGCCGGTTTTATGATCTTGGATACACTAACATGAGTGCATACGCACCGCATCATTGCAACTGCTGAAAGGTCAATATAACAAAAATAATAAATATATATAAATGTATAATGTTATGAAATTTAAGTAATTTAGACTAACCATTTTTGTTTAGGTGTTATTATCTGTAGTTATTCTAGAATGAAAAAAGGATAATTTATAAATATTTCCTAATTTTTACTGAGGTTTTGAAGTTGGTCAAATCGAACCAACATGTACAGAGATACAGTAGTGAAAATAACAGATAAAATATAGTTTTTACTATATTATCTGGAGGTTATAAAGATTTTGCATGATGCAGAAGTCTTTTTAATCTTAAAATCAAAATTACTTTGAATGTTGGATAGTCAATATTCTGAAAGGTTTACGAAAAAATCTTTAATTAAAAAAATCTTAATATTTAATTTAAAAACCTGATATTTTGTGTATGAAAGCCTTGTAATGTTCACCAATAACCTGCAAAATTTTGTAAAGATATGCAAACAATATCAAAAATCATAATATAATTACTTTCATGGATACACTCATGGTTACGAGCTGGGTGGATTCCACCTAGTCCATAATGAAGGGGTTAAATGTTCTGTAAAGAGGTGATTTCAGTATGAAGAGAGAGGTGGTTAGAATAGATGTTATATGCTCTATTGAGAAGACTGAGTATAAGGTTACATTTAAAGGAAGTCGGAATAAACTGTACAATCGAGTATATAAGCCTGTATATGCTTTTTTTTTACAATAAACAGATGATGTGAAATTGTTATATACTCTGCTGTTTTGGATATAAAAAAAAAAGGCAATTTACCATTTTTTCATTTGCATGAATAAAATTAATGTTAGGGTGTTTTGAATTTAAGTAATTAAAAAATTGTTTGATGTGAGTACAGCTTCGAAATAGTAAAACATATCATCAACATACCTTTTATATACAGTTGGTTTGTATTCAGCATTTGTATAATATTGTTACATTATCCTATCCTTTGTTTATTTGGTTGTCTTTTAATTTATCTCATCCTTTTACTTTGTATTTCAATTACTTTTTATAAAATGTTTAAACTTTATATTTGTACCTAATAATCTACCGTTCAATATGGCATGCTGAAGATGGAATACATATATATTCCTAAACATTCTAGAATTAAATAGTTTATTACTACTGTACACACACGTGCCAAATGTTTGTTCATTATGTTGTTCATCATTATTCTATATATATTATAAAAGTAACAAAAATGTGAAAATTAGAAACTTATTAGGTTAGATTATGTAAAATATAGAAAAAAAAAGTTTATTCACAAAGTACACTTACAATCAGCTCACATATAACCCATATTTTATGTAATTTAATACTGCATTGCAAGCTACACGTTCAACAAATGATTTACCACTTGTGTGGTGGGATTATTAGTTAGACATGGTTCAAAGGGCAATAACACAACAAAATATAAATAGAAACAATTGTATATTGTTAAAAGCTTTAAGCTATTTAAGATGAAAATAAAGAGTAATTTAGAATTATTTCCCTTTTTTTATGGTGGTTACAAGGTCAGTCAAATTGATCAACCCTTTATACAGTTATGGTATAGAAAATAACAGATATAACATTTTTCTGAAAAACAAAACAAAAACATTTGATATTTATTTAGGAGGTTTTATGGGTTACCCAAATGAAATTTGAAAAGTTTTTAGATGAAGAAAAGTATTTTTGATTTTAACATGAGAATCACTTTGAACTTGGAGCAGTCAACACTCTGACACCATATAATTATGGACAAAGTTTTAGTAAAATTACTTAACTAAAAATTCCAAATTTTTGTCTACAAAAGACTTAATGTTTTCTGAAAGCTTGCCAAATTTTGTGAAGACACATTAAAGTACTTTCAGAGTCACAGTATGTATACCACCATTAGATCAGAAGGTCATGTAAAATACACGAGCTCATTGTGATAGGATTAAACTCTATAGAAAACAACTAGTTAACTGCTACTGAAAAATATTCTAGAAGTGTGGTTAAAACATTACACTTTACTAATTGTTATATGATGAATACAACAAAGTGATAATAAATATTTTATTTTCAATTGAACATTTTGGCTTATTGAGACTGAAAATAAAAAACTTTAGTAAAAAACAATAGGTAACTATAAACTGAGCCCCAAACAAGCTCACAATACTGAAAATAAAAACTTTACTAAACTGAGCCCCAAACAAGTTAACAAGCTATTATAAATTTACATTAATCTAAGAGTTACATACAAAACAATTATCCATTTTTAATTAGACCAACTACATTAACTCTCTCTACAGGAGCTCGGTTGAATTTAACGACCATGTGACCACTTTGTACTCATTCTAGTTTCGATACTACTAAGTTTTAATATAGCATGTGTATCTTCACAAAATTTGGGACACTTTCAGCAAACATTAAAAGTCTTTTACATACAAAAAAAAAAAAATCACAATTTTTAGTTAAGTATTTTTAATAAAGATTTGTTCACGAATATATTGGTCCTTTTTATGGACTAGTCCAAGTGCAAAATGATTTTCATGTTAAGATTAAAAATTTTTTTCTTCATCTCAAATTTCATTTGCATAACCTCTGAAACTTCCTAAATACATTTCAAACATTTGTTTTCAGTAAAACTTTATATTTTACCTGTTATTTTCTCTCTAACTCTACAGAAGGTTGGTCAATTTGACCGACTTCATAACCACTATATATATATATATATCTATATAGAACTAAATTAACCTTTTTTCTTTCCATAATGACTTCAAATTGTAACATGAAACTACATTTTCTTATCCTAAATATCTATAAACTCATAACAGTATTGTTTTATTGATCTTTGAACAGTGTCTTAATTACTATTCATGCCATTATAAGTTGTAAATCACTTGGAGAACATACAGCACACGTTACACTATTGAATTACATTACCCATGAGCTGCTCTCATGCATACCTCATGAAATTTTTATTATATTATTTATTTTACCTAATCCAACCATATCCAACCTAAAGAGTTTCCCATTTTAAATTTTTGTTACTTCTATAATAATAAATAAAGAATACAGACGAAAAACTAAATATATATGAAGTACTTACCTGGGCCACTTTTTTTTTGCTGATAACTGTCAATGATACTTAATCCTACTTTTTTTTATACTAATGGTAGTACTACACAAAATAATTTTTATTTAATTAAATAATGCACCAAAGAAATTAGAATAATAACATGCAAAAAGTAGACAATGTTCCATAACTATCACAATTTGTCTGGCTTTCGAACTATGCGACAAGAGCCGTTACAAATTTATCCAAGCAAGTTGATATGTTTCCTGTGGGAATGAAGCTAGTATTGAAAGAGAAATTGACAATTTTCTGTACAGAAAAAACATAATATAATACATCGGTTGATAAATGAAAACCTTGGCTTTCTGTTAGTTATAAATAGTATAGTATTAAATGTAAGAGAAAACTATTAACAAATCCTGAAAGACAGGATGTGACAGGTGAGTGTGGCAAGAGAGGTCTGATTTTATATTTGATGGCTCTGTAACCAACAAGATTGAAAGCTAAAAAAATTATGCTTTATCTGAGCAATGATGATATTACAATGAGTAATTTATGTTAAATTTCGTACCAATTGGAGAGGTGGTGAATAAATTAGAGAAAGAGGGATGCCTAGAGAAAAAATGTAACATTTCTTACACTAGGGGAAATTCAGGATTTTCTTAATATGGCTTTATAAAATTGAGAACTTTAAAACTTCTATACTATTAAAATATGAATTATTAGCTAATATTTTATGCTATACTAATTGGTATAACATAAACAAAAAGAAGCTTAATTAAATTTTGAATGTAACTCAATAAAACCTCATGACATGGACAGTAAAGGATGCCTGTGGTGAAATGGTTAAAACACTGAATGCATTTAAAGCACAATGAAGTCTTTAATGTGTTTCAAACAAATGATAAAATATAATCTTCTTCTTTTTCAGCTTTTCCCTTTAGCATAACCATAGTCTGTCCCAAGCCCAGTTGAGAAAGGAGGACGGTTATTGTTAGGGCTTTGCAAAATAAATATGGAGAAGAATCGCATGGTATACCATAAGGCTAGGACATCCCCCATAAGTGGAGTGCACTGCCATCTCCCAGGAAGCAAGGCGTACCACCAAACTAGTGAAGGCAACCAAAGAGAGCTGGGAAACTAAAGAACTAGCAGATGTGCTAGAAAGAAGAGTAAAGATTGCATGTATTCAAGAGACTAAATGCAAGGTAGAGAATATGAAAGAGATATGAGCAGGTTATAAGCTGATCTACTCAAAATGAAGGAACAGAGTTGGAATTGTGTCAGATAAAGAATTCAAGATGAAACTGGTTGAAGAAGAGAGAACATTGGAGTGACTCATGCATGTGAAGGTGACAACTGAGGAAGGTGTGAAGGTTAGAAGGAAAAACCAGAGAAATAGAGGGGCAGTGAAACAAAAAATGCGTGAAGTTCATTAGATGGCCGGAAAAGAAGTTATTGGAAAATACTGAAGAAATACCTGATTCAAGAGGCAGAAAACATTCGTATTGTTATGACAACATGGAGACACCAGAAGGGGAGAAAAAAGTATGCAGAATAGCCAAGGAGATGATGGAACCATAGCCAGCCTCAAGCCTGGTTGAGAAAGGAAGATGGTTGCCTTCAGGGATTGAAACTCAGGTGTACAAAACTTTGCAGAATAAATACGAGAAAGAATCACATGGTACACCATAGATAAAAGTACAATATGATAATAAAAAAGTAATTACTTACTTAAGAAGTTCCAGAATGGCAAGAACTATGTCATTTACATAGCAAAATCCAGAAGCTTCTGACTTTTTAGCATGGTGAAGACCACCAGCCCAGTTAATAGCAATATCTGCAGCTTGCTTGTTAAGTTTAACAGCTCCAGCTGCAAACAGAAAACAGGTACCATCAGTTTATCTTGTAAAAGAATGACTGTTCAGGTTAGTACTAACAAGTAAGCTAGTTCATAAAGACCAATTATCTGCTGTTAACAACAAAACATTTATTTATTCCATTTTCAT